TCCTAGTATGATTTCTACCAAATTAAACATGAAATTTGGGGAATTTGAAGTCTAAATTGGGAAGTTAGGGCTTGGAAACGTGAGACTTTAATCTAGGGATTTGAGGGGCCATTTGTGGTCGGATTTTGGTATTATTGGTATATATGAACTCTTGGAAGGATAAGGATTCCGTTGATGTAATTTTTATCTAGTTTCGATACGTGGGCCCGGGGGTCGGGTTTGGCCAATTTCGGGATTTTTGGTATAATTTAATTATTTTCGCTTGGACTTCGATCCTTTAGCACATTCTAATATTATGATTCTGATTTTGGGTAGATTCGGCACGAGTTGAGGCTGAGGCAAGAGGCAAAGGTGTCGCGGAGTAGTAATTCACCCGGTTTGAGGTAAATGAGGTGACGCACATGCTAGGTGACGAGCGTGTGAGCGTGCACCGGTAGAGATTGTGACTTGGTCCATCCCGTAGCGACTATTAAGCGGCGTACTTGATTTGAAACCTTATGATATCTCATGCTTTAGACATTTATACTGTATTATGAGTTGTATGCCATATTTGGGGCCTTGTGTCGACCTGTTGAGACCCTTAGGGGCACTTTTGCTATTTTTCCTCACTGTATTTGATTAAAAGCATATCTTCAGTCATGTTTTACCTGTTTATTGTTTTAAACTGTTTTTATCACTCTACTTCTTAATGTGAGAACTGTTCGAATTGAGTTCCCTGATTTCTATTGTTATGCCCGAGTGGCTGTGAGGTTAATGACTGAGAGAGGTTGAGGACCTAATAGTGAGGACTATAAATATTATGGATTGGATTGCACGCCGCAGCAATATTTTATGTATATATTATGGATCGGGTTGCACGCCGCAGTAATACTTATATGGATCAGGCTGCACACCGCAGCGATATATATATTGGATCGGGCTGCGCACCGCACCGATATGACGCTTGGGTTGTAGGAGCCCCTCCGGAGTCTGTACACCCCCAGTGAGCGTAGTCGACTATAAACTATGGATCGGGTTGTACGCCGCAGCGGTTATTATGATTATTACTATTATGATGTGTATTTGAGCCTGAGTGCTGAGTGTGAGTACTGAGTGACGAGAGCTGAGTCACGAGTGACTGAGAGTCTTGCTCGAGAGGCTAAATTTATGAGTGATACCTTGCCCGAGGGGCCCATTTATGATATTTTTTGCCGATTTCGCTTTTCTTTTAAAATAAGCCTCTGTTGAAAACTGTTAAGTAAATGAATTCAAGGTATTTCAAATGAAACTGAAGCTTTATGAAGAAACTGGTTTTAAAACTATTGAGTTTAACTTGATAATCTATCGTTTATCCTTCTATATGTTTTTAAACTGCTCGTCACTGCTTTCAGACCTTATTTACTTTAGTTACTTACTGAGTTGGCGTACTCACGTTACTCCCTGCACCTTGTGTGCAGATCCAGGTGCCCGAGCGGCAGAGTGAGGGTCCTCAGCATTGTCAGAGTTTGTCGGAGATTGCAAGGTAGCTGCATGGCGTCCGCAGCCCTGCTTTCTTCCTCTTATCCTTGTTTTCCCGCATTTTAGACTTTTTATGTATTAGACAGTCAGATTTGTATATTTAGATGCTCTAGACTCGTGACACCAGATGTTTGGGCTGTGTTGGTTTAATGTTTTATTGATTTCCACACATTTTTAGTTGTTTTATGCATTTCTTATGAAAATTGAGATTTAAACTCGTGTTAGAAAATTATTTTATAAAAGAACTTTGTTGTGATTAATGGTTTGGGTTGGCTTGCCTAATAATGTGATAGGCGTCATCACGACCGGGCATTTGGGGTCGTGACATTGAGTCACCAAGATAGACAACTTCTTCTCCCTCCTCAACTTGGGTGTAAGACATAAAGTCGTTTTTGTTAGCACATATGTGCCTAGTGGCACCAGAATCTAACACCCAATCTTTCACATTGGCCACAAGGTTCATTTGGGAAACAACCGCAACAATTATATCATCCACTTTGGCTTCAGTCAAATTTACTTTAGCCTTAGTGGGATTGTCATTTCCAACCTTTTTTCGGCATTGAGCAACACAGTGACCAGGTTTGCTACAGACAAAGCAGTTGTCTTTTTCCTTGAAGATTTGGTTGTTGGTTTTGGGCTTATAACCATTTCTGTTGTCATACCTGTTACTTGATTTTCTCTGACGGTTGTTGTCCTCCACAAGGCTGCTTCTAGTAGTAATTTCTTTTCCTTTGTCAACAACATCGTGCTTGCGGTTAAAATTATCTCCACCAAAAATCATAATTTTTTAAACATCGTGAAAAGATTTGGCACATGTAATTAGCGATGGAACAACAACAGAAACAGTAGGGGCATCAGGTGTAGTAGCAACAACAACAACATTAGCAGTGTTATTCTCCATAATAACAGCGTGTAAATATCCTTAAGATTGTTGTAAAAATATTGAATTATGGAGAATAATATTTAGCTTGAGGCGTGTCAACGACATTATTCTTAAGGATCACCCACACCGTGATAAATATTATTAGGCGTATCCCCTGGATTTCAACAAGCTCTTCTAGTATAACTAAGAGCAGAAACAACAAAGATTGTATAAAAGAAAACCCAACACAAAAGAAAAAAGGAGAAGAAAAGTTTTGTTTTTTCCACACTATCACCTAATGAACACAAGAACACATCTATATATAAATATAAAGTTGGGAATAAAAAAAGTGGCATGGCGCTTCCTATGATCAGCATTAGTATTTATATATTTTTTCCTTTTTCCTGCATTTCTTCTTCATTCTGCTCTAAAAACAGGTTCGGAAAAAGACTAATGGTTTTGCTTCTGAAGGGTCACATTGGTAACGTAAAGTGATCATCTGAAAGGTCACATTGGTAAGTAATGTAAAATGCTAACCGTTATGCTTCTGAAAAGTCAGACTCAAATTAATTGCATTTAGTTTAGGCTTCCAAATATAATGACCAGGTCTTTCACGTCTTCCTTCTTCCATATTTACCCATGGAAATTGGAAAGCGCATCAATTTTAAACACACCGCAGTACAGGTATGTCTCCATTTATTTTGTCTTGCGATATCGCTCTTCTTCATTTTATGAAATTATTAACAATGATATGATTGCTTAAATTAAAGTATCGCTATTCTTCTTTGTATGTAGTTTTAATTTTGCAAAATAGAGAGATGTGCCCACCACCGGAAGTAAAACCTCGCGGTAGATGTCGCCTCAACTTTCCTATGCTTATTACTGTCTTGACGTCTGTAAATAGATGCAATCATGTGCACATACCATCCCACTTGAGAATTCAACTGTTGAAGGAAAAAGTAATAGAAACAAGAGTTTGTAGCTTCATTTTTTGTCTTCAATCTATTTTTTGGGTTTTTTTTACATAAGATCAACACGTCAGACTAACCACATGATAAAAAATATCTCTCTTCCCTTTTTAAATTCTTAGCTTTTTCGTTTATTTTCTTCATGACCTATTTTAATTTCTTGATCTAAAACCTTTAATCTTTCTCAATTTCTGTCACGTTATAAGATATAATTGACTAAAGGTGTTATTAGAAAAAAATTATGTTCTAAAGGACTAAATAAGTTATCCAGAATGACAATTGCCCGTCTTATTCTATTGGAACAATGGATAAAAAAGAAGTTATAGAAGTTGAAGAAAAAATTGTGAAGTTTGGGTGTAGATAGAAAAGGTGCTTGAGTTTTTGCATCTAAAATTTCTTTAGCTCATAATATATATTGCAATTTCTTTACATACAGGACAAGACGGTTATTTCAAATTTTTTGGCATTGAAAAATGAATAATGCATACGGCCAATCAATCAATTCCCTGAACTGTATCAGCTCATTAATGCTTTGAATCCCTTTACTTGCATACCATTGTTATGCTTTGGGGTCTCTTTAGTTACTTTCAACGCAGAAGAAGAAAAAGAAAAGGAAGATTTGGAAAAAGCAAAATATGCTCATGTAATGAATTAAAGAAATAAGTAAAAATAAGTGTTAATATAAGATGTATTAAAACATGAAATCTACTTCATATTTGCTCTTAAGGGCTAAATATTTTTAATACTTGAATATTAGGAAGAAATTATGTTAGTATTATTTTTACGATCGCGTGAAGCACGATGATTTTACTAGTCTCTATATATAGTCCAAAAATGAAATGGACATCTGATGTAAAAAACGTTAAAATTCATTTATTATTCAAACAAATGTCAAAACGTTAAATCATTTAAGTCTACAGATTTCATAACTTAAATCATTGAAAGCTATCAACGTAAAATTCATTTCAAGCAATAGAAATGGTTAGATTATTTTGTCCCAATTGAATTCAAAATTACACTAATTTTAAGTTATAAAATATTTAAAATAATTACTACAATAATAAAGACTCATTAATAGAATGAACCTAAACATCAATTTAAATATTTTTTTTGAGATATTAAAAATATTATTTTCTTTAACATTACCTACTAACTTTCTACCATAATTCTCGACTTTCACACTCTCCTATCAAGAGTTATGTCCTCAATAAGCTGCAGTAGCATCATGTCTTACCTAATCACCACTCTCCATAACCGTAACCGTCCAAATATATAAGGAAAAATGCTAGGGAGGGCGGCGCTAGAAGGAAAAATTTCTTTGGACCATTAACTCTGCATATATAGGTTCATGTTTAGAGTCAATTCAAGTTTTGTTTCCTAAACATTGTATTAGAGGTATTAATTAATAAATCAAACTTCTTATTGTCAAATTATAAAATATTTACACTGCTCTTTTGGTTCATCTACTCTCCCTTCAAAAAACAAAGGGGTCTCCTTGTTCTTCTAATATATTTCCAGTTTTGGGCCATTTGACTTTATTAGTGCACCATTTTTTGAAAAAAATATAAAGGGGCGGTTTTAAACTACATTTCTTTCATATTAAAATGGAAGTCAGCGGCATGACCTTCTCTTTTATCCTAATATAAATTGTTCCTTTTACATTAGTTTAGTGATTAAGGCCAGTTGGGCCGTCCTCCAGATATGGCGGCAGACAAAATCTGTTGAGTAATGTATTGCACCGTCGGTTTTGACTTTTTTTTTTGGCTCGAGGTCGAAAGAAAACTATATAAACTGAGTGTAAAGTCAGTGGTTTCAAGCATTAGCATATCCTATTAAAGAGAGTTAGTGAGAAGAGAGCAGTCAGAGAGAAAGATGAGAAGCTATCAAACAATGCTAAACAATGGCGAAACCCTACCAATTATAGGTATGGGGACTTATTCTGGCGAAAACGATAGAGAAATAACAGAGAGATCCATTAGAATGGCGCTCAAGGTAATTAAGTACATCAATCTTTACTTTTCATTAATCAATGGTATGTTTACATGGAAATTTATTTGGGTTATTGTTTCGAGCAGATGGGGTACAGGCATTTTGATACAGCAAAAATATACGGTTCCGAGCCGGCTGTGGGAAATGCATTAAGAAGAGCAATTGGTGAAGGAGTGGTGGAGAGGGAAGACATTCATATCACCTCTAAGCTATGGTCGAGTGATCACAATGATCCTGTTTCTGCACTTCACCAAACTTTACAGTAAGCTCACCATATGCATGCTTTTTAATTACATTTTGCCTGGTACTATTTCCTAAGTTCTAAAAAAAAGGATACATTTTTCTATTTGGCAACAATTATAACTTCAAAAATTCTCATTTTTACTTTTAATAGCATGTTTTTATATCAAATAAGTCATCAAAGTTTAAAACCACAAGCTCTAAAAAGATTTCTTGTTATTTTTTTTATAAAAAAAAAATTGTGTCCAGTCAAAATAAGCCATATAAATGGAAACGGAAAGAGTAGTTGTTTTCCAGTATTCCTAGAAAACCAACATGCAGCACATGAAAGATCGACCAAAGGTGTTAGCTTTTGATAATAGTACTTGAACTATTGTTTCTGCAGGAGGCTAGGGATGGAATACATAGACTTGTATTTGGTGCATTGGCCAGTGGCTTTGAAGCCATGGGTTGATTATCCTGTTCCCAGAGAAGAAGATTTTGAGACATTAGACATGGAGAATACCTGGTCTGGCATGGAAAGGTGCTTAGAAATGGGTTTGTGTAGGTCTATTGGCGTCAGCAATTTCTCATCTAAAAAAATTGAAGACCTGCTAGATTTTGCTTGTATCACTCCTGCTGTTAATCAGGTACTAATTTGCAAATTGCAATATGCCGTAGTTGCTTGCTTCTAATTTATATATGCAGTCTTGTAAACATTTGAGATTGTAAAATTCTGAATTAGGTATCTCTTTAGTTGGCCACCGTTGACCAGTTTATTCTGCTTGTGCACGATATTTGATACTAATTAAATACATGGGGTTCAGGTGGAAATGCATCCAATGTGGAGGCAAAGAAAGGTGAAGGCATTATGTAGGGAATATGGGATTCATGTAAGTGCATATTCACCTCTTGGTGGACCTGGAAATGCTTGGGGAACTACTGCTGTGGTTGATCATCCCATCATCCAATCTATTGCCCTCAAACATAATGCAACTCCAGCTCAAGTAAGAAACGTCTCTAAACAATGACACACACAAAAACACGTGCAAATATATACTACATTATAAAGCTACAATATGGAAAAAGTAACTAATTGCCCTCTTTCTTGAATGTTTCTTTGATTAGGTTGCTCTAAGATGGGGGTTGTCCCAAGGATCAAGTGTTATAGTGAAAAGCTTCAATCCAAGAAGAATGAAAGAGAACATTGGAGCCCTTCAGTTGAAATTAGACGAATGGGATTTACTTAACATAAATAAGATGGAGGAGAGGAAGATTATGAGGGGAGAGTGGCTATCCAATGACACTACAAGCCCTTACAGAACCATCGGAGAACTTTGGGATGACGAGATATAATTCTCTCTCTGGAATTGACTTTTTGGCTAACTCTTAAATGTAAAAATAGAACATGCATGAATGTACTTGCTACTTGCATATATAAGATTTTGATAAAAGAAAAGGAGTCCAAATTTACTCCTGATCTATGATTGGAAATGTTTAATATTATCTTTGTTATACTTCAGATCACTTATATTCTTGCTATTAGCAATCTGTCTTATATTTGGGCTTTACTATAGTGGAGCTCCAGCGTAGATAATGAAACTTTGAAACCATCAAAATTGTGACACTGGAAATTTCAACAACATCCTTTCAAAATCGCTACTTTCATCCTCTCTCACCCAATTTTGGCACGCTTCCATTCTCTCATTAAATTTCCTCTCTCTTTCTCTCTCTAGAATTCCGAGCCGCCGACCCGTCCCCTTCTCATCTTCGGTCCGGTACTTATCTCCATCAGCTTTCCTTTTAAGCAAGCTCATTTGCTTAAAGCTTGCGACCTTCGCAGTTGATTTTGGCATCTGGGTTTTGTTTGCCTACTTTGTTTTGAGTTAATTCTGAGTCATGGGGATTTGCTAATTGGGCTTGGTTTGATCAGAACTGGTAGTTGGTTACAAAGAAGAAAGAAAAACAGAGGGCAAAGATTGACTGGTAGATACGGCAAAAAGTTCATGTCATCATCAGTATCAAGAATTTACAGTGCAAAGATGGCGGAAGAAATTACACAATGTCTTCATAAATTTATTTTAACGGAGGAAGAAAAGGAGGTTGTGGCAATAGAGTTTCCAGATACTCAGGCAAGCATGAAAGAATGTGAAGTAAGTCTTCTTGGTAAGATAATCTCTGACAAAAAGGTGAATTTTCATGGAATTAGGAATGCTATGAACTCTGGCTTGGGGTAGCCCTAGAGGATCTCAAATTAAAGAAATCACATGAAATTTTTCCAGTTCACCGTTAAAGACGAGGCAAGTTTAGATAAAGTTAAACTTGGTACTCCATGGTTATATGATAGATACCTTCTCAATATTCATCCTTGGGAACCAGGATTGGAGAGTGACTCTCCAATTTTTAACAAGAGTAATATGTGGGTTCAAGTTTGGAACATTCCTTTACACTGGATGTCAAAGGATGTTTGTCGGAAAATAGGGCATGTATTAGGAGGTATCCTAGATATTCTAATTCCTGAAAATGGAAGTAAAGAGCGTCAGTATATGAGGCTTAAAGTCAAGATTAATATTAATAAGCCATTGCTTAGAGGGAAACGGATCAAGCTAGGCTTTGAAACTATATGGGTTGAATTGAGATATGAAAATCTACCTTATGTTTGTTACTATTATGGTGTGCTAGTACATAATGATAAAACCTGTATACAGAGGGAACAAGATTTACGTTCAGGAAATCTTAGAAGCGACCAGTTCGGGACATGGCTACGAGCAGAGAACAATGCATCTTTCTCGGAAAGTCAAAAGCATCAAGATTTTAATAATGATATAGTGGGGAATACAATGATGAGAAATCGTAACTATAAATTAGTTAAGGAGAAAAGAGCTACAGGAACCAGGGAAGATTTGCAACATCTGGAAGGCGACGGAGACTCGATGGATATGCAGGATGGTCTAGAGAAAGAGAATGTCCAGGTGGAGGAAAATAGATTACAGGGGAAGGAAGTTCTGGATTTGCAAGCAAAGGACGATGATAATTTGAATGACAAAAAGAAAGTGCACCGAGTACATTCTTTGGAGGAAGAAACAATCCCAATCTCTAATAACAGTCTGCCACTTACTAATTCACAAAATAAAGATACTGGACAACTCCATACGAATACTTTGCAAAAAACTAAACTTCAAGTATATTCATATTCGCAATCACTTTTTAAAAGACAAGGAGATATTGCAGGAAACAATCATGAAGCTGCGATTATACCAGGTAAAGGGTTAGTTGTGGATGTTTGTATACATGAGTTTGGGCAAAAAGACAAAGAGCAAGATGGTATTGAGATGACGATGTTACAGAACCAAGACAAAGTTACCGATGATGCACATAATGGAGTAAAGGTGAGTGATGTTGTTTCTGGGAATGGAGCAGTCAATTTAGAAAAGCCTAATATGCTAATTGATATTTCGATTATGGAAGAGTTTGGGTTAATGGGGTAAAACGAAAAGATAAGGAGATAGTTACACCAATACCTAGTGCAAAAAGTCAAAAAGAAAGAGGTGGGGTGGGAGGCCAGCCTGGAATGGTCTCCCTTGATGAAATGAAGTTGCTGGCATGGAATTGTCAAGGGTTGGGGGGATCCTTGACACTATCTCCACTCCCCGGATTGTATTCTTCTATGTGAGACAAAGAACCAACAATCACGACTTCAGTGGCTACGACAAAAGGTTGGGATACAAAATTCCTACATTGTGGACCCTGTTGGACTCTTTGGTGGACTCGCCTTACTCTGGCATGAAGACACTCAGATAAGTAACATTTACTCTTCATCCTATTTCATTGAGTTCTCCATTTATGATAATGAAAAGAAGATTAGTTTTTGTTGTATTTTTGTATATGCTAGCACAGATAGAGAAACTAGAAAGAAACAATGGGCTGAACTTATTACTAGATCAGTATCTTGGGGAATCTATTGGATGTTACTAGGGGATTTTAATTATATTATTGATAATTCTGAAAAATCTGGGGGAACTACGCCGGCTTCTTGGGCTTTTAAGGATTTTAATAACTTTATTTATATTCGAGGAGCGATAGACCTTGGTTATAGTGGGAAACCTTAGACTTGGTCTTGTTATAGAATTAATGAGGGACTTATTCAAGAACGCTTAAATAGAGTTTTGGTATTTCCTGATTGGAGATTAAAATATGATCAGGTTATAGTGTTTCATATTCAAAATGATGCTTCAGATCATGAATTATTTCGTTGTTCCATAAATGGACTAAATGATCGCTGGAAAAAAGATTTTATTTTGATAAAAGATGGGTTGGAAACTCTGAAGCCCGTGAATTAATTAAACAATCTTGAGTAACTAATTCTTTTGGGGATTGTCAATCCAAAGTGTGTTCAAAGATAAGAAAATGTCGAAATTCTTTAATCTTATGGAGAAAGAAGGGCGAATCAAACTCTATGATAAAGATTAAGCAACTGAAAAATCTTCTTAAGTTGGCACAAATTAATCCAAAAGGACCTGATCTAACTGTCATATCAAAGCTGAAAAATAAGTTAGGTAAAGCCTATAAGGAGGAAGAAATTTATTGGAAGCAAAAGTCTAGAGTTCAATGGTTAAATGAAGGAGATAAAAATACTTCTTTTTTCATATGTCTACTCTTCAGAGTATGAGGATGAATCTAATTAAAGGAATTAAGAATGGATCAGGGGAGTTGATTTGTGACAAAAATGGTATGGTAAAGGAAATTGAGGATTTCTGTAGGGAACTATTTACTACTTCTAATCCTTCCTCCTTATCTCATGTTCTTCAGTCTATTCCAACTTCTATCGATGAAAACATGAATTTGGGCCTGATTAATGAAGTAACTAATGAGGAAATAAAAGAAGTTGTTTTCTCTATGCATCCTAATAAGTCCCCTGGTGTTGATAGAATGACTCTACTATTTTTCCAGCAGTTTCGGCTGTTAATTTCTCATGATGTCTGTTTGGCAGTAAGGTGTTTTTTTGAGACAGCTCAACTTTTACCCGTTTGGAATCAAACTTTGATAATGTTGGTACCAAAAATAAAAATACCTACTACAGTAAATCACTTTAGACCTATTAGCTTATGCTCTACCTTATATAAGATTATTACAAAAATTCTGGTAAAACGTATGAAACTTTTGATACCTTTACTTATCTCTATGAATCAAGCTGCCTTTGTTGGAAAAAGACAAATTGTGGATAATGTCGTGTTAGCACATGAATTTATGGGGGTGCTGAAAAACAAACGAAAAGGAAAAGATAAGTTAATGGCTTTAAAGTTAGATATGTCTAAAGTATATGATCCTGTGGAGCGATCTTATATCCAGCAAATGATGTTACAAATGGGTTTTCACCAAATTTTTGTAAATTGGGTTATGACGTGTGTTATGACTGCTTCTTTTTCGTTTAACTTCAATGGAGAGATTAAGGGTTGTGTAAAGTGATCTAGAGGATTAAGGCAGGGTAATCCTCTATCATCTTACTTATTCCTAATATATGTTGAAGGATTATCTGCTCTATTACACTCAGCTGAACAACAAGGAGTTAAAAGGGTTCACATTAGGGAGAAGTAGTCCTTCTGTTTCCCATTTATTTTTTGCAGACGACTCATTTATCTTTTGTAGAGTTGATATGAATAGTGTTGCTACGATTAATAAAATTTTGGACATATATGCAAGATGCTCAGGACAAATTATTAATTTTGAGAAATCTGCAATTTTTTTTAGTAAGAATACTATGGAGGAGGAAAAAGTTTTAATATGCTCTTCGTTGAATAATATACGAATGTGTGAAAGGGTTATGTATTTAGGATTGCCTGCTATTGTGGGAAGATCTAAAAAAGAAATGTTGGCTTTAATAAAGGATAGAATTTTATCTAAAATAAAGGGTTGGAAAGAAAAAAATTTAAGTCAAGCAAGGAAGGAGGTTTTATTAAAGTCTGTTTTAGCTGCTATTCCCTGATATACTATGTCTTGTTTTCAGATACCTGATGCGCTATGTAAGGAAATTACTAGTTTATTTTCAAACTTTTAGTGGGGTACGAATGATGATAAAAGAAAGATGCATTTTGAAAAGTGGAAAAAAACTATGTGAACCAAAATTTAAAGGGGGGTTAGGCTTTCAGGATTTAAAGGCTTTTAATATGGCTCTTTTAGCCGCGAATTCTAACTGAACCGGATTTGTTAGTTTATCAAGTCCTTAAAGGTAAATATTTTCCTAAGGAATCTTTCTTACAGACACCGACTAATAGATATACATCTTGGGTATGAAAAAGTATTTTATGGGGGCGAGATCTATTAAGTAGAGGTGTTAGATGGAATGTTTCAAATGGTAATTCTGTAAGAGTATGAAGAGATACATGGCTGCCACGAGATAGCTCCTTTTACCCCTTAAGTATGATGACTAGTACTGCGACAAATATGAAAGTATCAGAACTGATTGATGACAGTATTAGCACATGGAGTATGCAAATTTTGAATACGTTATTTAGTGAAGATGATGTCGAATCTATTTTAACTATTCCAGTTTCTTCCGTAGGGGAAAACGATCAACTGATTAGGCATTTTACTAATTCAGGTAAATACGAAGTGAAGTTTGGGTATTATTTGGCGAAATTGCTCCTCACAAATGATAGAAGTTTGGCTAATCATGCGGAAAGTAGTTCTCATGTGTTCCCGAAATCCTTTTGGAACCATTTATGGTCTTTAAACATTAAAAACAAGCTCAAATATTTCTTAAGGAAGTGCGTCTTAAATACATTGTCTGTTAAGAATCTTATTAAAAAAAGAATTTACTCTATGGATGACATATGTCCTATTTGTGGGATGGAACCTGAAACTTTAGAGCACATGTTCTTTAAATGTCCTAGATCAATTCATGTTTGGAAAATGAGTCTGATTCATTGGCCAAATTTGCATCTGATCTCTGATTTCGCTTTATGGTGGTATAAATTAGTGTTAGACACTAAAAGATTCTCGGAAAGTAATACCTTATTGCAACTAGCAGTATCTATTTTATGGATGATTTGGAAGGCTAGGAATGATTATATTTTCAATTCGGTGATATGGCATGATAATGATGTTTTATCTAAAGCAATAGTTGAATTTAATGAATTTACAGTTGCAAAGAAACATGCTAACAATATAAGCGATGCTTCTACTAATTCACCATTACTAACTCTTTCTTCATAAAAAGTGTCGCTTTATGTGGATGCAGGTCTAGATCCAAAGACTCGCAAAGCGAGTATCCGAATAGTAGCCTTAAAGGCTAATGGTGACGTGCTTTATGCCTATGGTAGTCTAATTCCTTTTGTTGGAAAAGCCATAATAGCTTAAGCGTAGGCAATAAGAAAAGCAATTCAACTGGAAGTGAAGTATAGCTGGAAGAATATAGATATCTTGTCTGATTCCTTAACAATGGTTCAAATGCTTAATGAAAGCAGAGATCCTTCGTGGGAGGTTCATACTCTTTGTGAAGATATTTGGGCACTTCAGCAACATCTGAGTGATGTACGTTTTAAATATCTAAGTAGAGGGTTCAATACTTGTAGTCATAAGCTAGCTAAATTTTCTTTCGCACTACTTAGTGAAGTCTCTTGGTTTAACAACTTTCCTGTTTGGATTGTCAACGAGGCTTCATCTGGTTTTGTACCATTGACTATTGGGTTTGATTAATGCATGCGTTATTTCCCCGAAAAAAATAATTCAACAACAATAAAAATCCAGTATAATTCCACAAGTGGGGTCTGGGGGGTAGTGTGTACGCAGATCTTACCCACACCTAGAAGGTAGAGAGGTTGTTTCTGATAGACCTTCATCTCACGAAAAGCAGTTAACAATAAAATAAAATAAAATAAACTATAGCACCAAATAGTAACAACAACAAGATAGTAAGAAATCGAAGCGAAAAGAACAACAGGTAAAAAAGGACTAACACTAATATTCTCGACTACCTACTAGCCGTCTACCTTGATTCTCTACCTCCGCACCTTCATATCAAGGGTCATGTTCTCGGTAAGCTGAAGTAATGTCATATCATGCCTAATCACCTCACCTAATACTTCTTCGGCCTGCCTCTACCTCTTCTCAGCCCCGTCTGGTAGTTCTGATTGCCTTTCCACTCCTCACTTTGGTTTCAACCAAGCCAATCAAAGATGTCTCTTGTGCTCTTATATAATCTTTGGACTCTCTCTATTTCTCAACTTTACCGATCTTTTTGACATCCACATAAGGACCTTCATGTGGAACTATTGTTGTTTTTACATTCCCTTCGCACCTTAGTGCTACCTCTGGTTTTTCGTCTTGTGTAGCCCTTATTTGTCTTTTGTTCTTTGGCCTTTACTTTTTCCCTCTCCCCTCTTTCTTAGAATTCAACATTTATGATATGTTTTACATCTTGTTCGCTTACTCTTCATTCAGGGTGATTCGAACCAGGGGAGGATCTTCCACCTTGTTGGTCATAGCACCAGTGCTTGAACGTTTACTCTTACTGCTCTTCTCAGGTTCAACTCTTTTGTATGCCTTGAGCTTCTTGTTTGAAGTTATTTGTTTATCACAGAACAAGTTCCCTTCAGTCACGGTCATAGTTGACACTCTCATCCAGATCTTTGCTTCTATGAGTCAAATCACTCTCCTCGGGAGTTCTCTCCTTGACTACACCGTCCTCGACTTTGTTATCCAAAAACTCATCCTGAGCAATCTCTTTCGGTTTAGCAGTATCCAAATCTGGCATCTTTGCCTCTTTTTGTTCAGGGTCCTCTAGAACAACAAAACGGTTCGGGTTGACTAGGTCCAGTTGGGTCATTCCACTAGCACTACTAGTGTCCAGCCCCCCTTTGCTATTGTCACTACTGGTACCTGACCCCATCAGCTCGACATTTTTGCAAACACCGACCCTTACTCAATAGGACAATTTAAAGAGGAGAACGAGGACAACTGACTACCGCTAAAATTCAAACTAAGAGTAAACATTGTATGATTGAAAACTATCGTTGCATACTCGGTGCCTTCTCTAACACAATCGCTTCAATCAATGTTAAGTCTGACTACACCGGTAGCTGACTCTCCAATAGTTGCTTTAATCAATGTTAAGTATGATTACGTCCGTAGCTGACTACTTATTGAAAGACCGAACAGGAAATGAAAATCATACTACAATAATTGTAAATAAAACATTCCGTCCCTGCTCTGACTTTGATCGACTTGCCCGCACAACGTCTTTTTTTAGAGAAGAGGTCAAGGGGCTAAGTGACTTTCGAAAGTCGTCTTTTGTATCATGTCAAGAGAAATGAGATAGATAAGATCATTGCTTAAAGAGTTTCATTGTTGAATTGATCTCGAAATTGGATCCCAATAGTTGATTCTGCCCAAAGGTGCTTTATGAAAGCCGATCCACAACGGTGAAAGTACAATTGATTTCGTCAATCGAACGAAAACAACTTCTTGTTTTTTTCCCCTCTCTGGTTTGACTACTCGGCTTGCTTAACACAAGTCTTATTTAACCTTCACGAACCATTTCCCTATCCAACAAGCTCCGGCTCAAAAGCAAGAAGCAAGGGCACAGCAGCTGCGCGAAGTTGCACCTTAGCACATCCGTTTTCTGGCTCGTTAGCGCTCTTTTTTTATTGCAGCTAGCGCGCTTGACTAATCAGATAGAAAGGGCCTTTCTCGCTTGTTTGAAGCCATATAATGCTTTCTTCAATTGGTAAGGGAAGTCTAATAGGGCTTTAATAGATAGGGATGTAAGCACAGCGGTAAGAAAAAGCCACTCAGTGAATCGGTGGATCACACACTTGGAGACAGGGACAGGGGCATGCCTGACTCTTTAGAAAGTATACAAGTGTTGAAAGGATGAAGCATGGGGACAACCGTAAACGTGAGGAATGGCACCTCCACCCTACTAAAGAAGTTCGAAAACAAGGGACATGTCGAACACCTGCCTTTCAACTAAGTCCAAGGCGAGGACCTGTTAATTGACGATGCGTTCCGTCATTAGCAAGCGATGGACGACAAGGCCCCTTTCCCCAAATATCTTGGGAAGCGAAGTGGCAGGTTTGAAACTCATTCGGTAATCTTCTCCTGAAGATAAGCGTTTCCCCAAGGCACTGGAAATTTCATTTACCAAAATACTTCAGGAAAATATTCAAATTTATTGCTCCACTTTTGACTATGTTTTAAAATTATATATACTCCATTATACTATGGCGAAAATTAATTTTATTTTATTTTTAACGACTTTTGCAAAGATTTCAAATTATAGTTCTTTTGAAGGTTTTGGTCGAGTTTTTCTCTTTCTGTACTTTAATAATTAAACTAGCCACCTCCTGATGGTTTATTGGTTATTTTTTAAAAAGAAGGCAACACTTTTAAATTAGACACGCGCTTCTAAATTGGGAGGAACTTAGAGCGAGCACCAAGTGTGCCTCTGGTGTGTACGTCTACACTAAAATAAAGTACGAGTAACTACATAATGAGTGACATACTGCAGGCGTAACTGATATGATCATTACTGGTAGCATGATTGCTCAGAAAGAGCTCCCGATTGATTTTCCAATCGTTGACTTAATAAGCTTTAAGGCTAATAGGGCAAGTGCGTTAATTAGCACTAACCCAAAGGTTCAAGGACCATTGAAAAATTCGAACGTATCTGAATCCCTGATGCACAGTTGCACTCCTATGCGCAATAACATATGCATAAGGATAGCTACTCTACAATACAATATATACAATAAAATACAAAACCTTTTTCTTTTTTCTTTTTTCTTTTTGGGGATGGAGCTGGGGGACTTGAATCTTGATGTTTAAAATGGACATTGACCGGTGGGCCACCGCATAAATGATCCAAGATTTGGGGAGGGGGAGCACCGGAGCAGCCCCCCAAAACTCCTCTGCCTCAGTCAATGTTTAAGGTCAAATTTCTGTTTAAGCATTTTACTAATAATATATTGGCTTCTTTCAAATATTAAAATAGCTACCCTTAGCACTAAACTACTCTTCCTTCCGTTGGACAAAAAAAACAAACGGAGATCTCCATATTCTGCTAATATATTTCCAGTTTTGGGCCATTTGACTTTATCAACGCACCATATTAAAATTTAAGCGGGCGGCTTTCAACTAAACTTCTTTCAAAATGCCGCTTGACAATTTTCTATTCTGTCCTAATAATAATTTGTTCGTTTTTTTTTTTTCATTATTCTTGAGTGATTAGGGCCAGTTGGGCCGTCCTCTGGATATGGCGGCAGACAAAATCTGCTGAGTTAGGAAATCGTATCACGTGAAACAAAAAGAGTTGTACTATAAAACTGTCTACACATTCTTCTCATTCAGGTGGTAGATGTAAATTATGGGCGCCTTAAAGGCAACAGAAGATACAAGATGATGTTACTCTTAACAGCTTAAGACTTCTCAGGTAGTCAAACTTTCAAAACAGAGCAGGATTGCCCTTGGCTGAATGAACTACACAAAAAACCATATGGTAGAGACAGCTTCTGTGCAGCTCATGCAAAGGTGAAATAGATCTACCATGCAAAGCTTTATACATCTGCAAAGGTAGTAGACGGACTTAATAGTTGGCTGAGTACCTTGTTCATCAAGAATATGGCTGCCAGTAATCTAGTCTTTGACTATCTGCTCATTGTTCCCCCTAGAAACATGTGCTGTACCATGCTCGATACACTGAGAAGCAGAAGAAAAAGTAAGTAATGATTTTCACTTGGATTATATCATATCCTCTGTTTCAGCTGTGTAAAACATCAGACAACTCAGATCTTTGACTTTCCCAGATGAAATCAGCAGTGACCCAGTGACAATCAACAAAGTAAGCCCCAGGAAAAGAATAACACTGACAAATTACCTGTAGAAGATGGTTGTGCAGCCAATCCAATGTTTGAGGAAAAGTTGTAGCTGATATGTTTACAACTGTTAAACCCTGTCAATAAAGAATGTAGCCCCATCGGATAAAAATTGTGAATCTATACTTTAACAAATCAATAATTCAACTAAACCTTAAAAGTCAGGATGTACTAGGTAAAAGTCGTTCAGACATATCAGACATGAAAAGAATTGACAAATGGTTACTTTCTCTTTTTTATTTAATTAATAAGTTTAATAAGAAAATCATTTCTTTTTAGCCAACTTGCAAACTAATATCAAATAAAATTTTACAGTGCTTTTATTTTATTATAACCTGTGTCCATAATTCACCGTGCGTTAAATTGGTTTTTTAGTGCATGCACAGTCCCATGAAGTAGTATCAAGAATTCTAGAAAAGGATCACTCTTCCATAACTCGACAAATTTATATGAACTGCTCAGCAAGTCCCCCAGACCACAAGAAAAATATACTACTCTACATTTTTTGTACTCTGCTTTTGGTGTTCCCCATTTTGCATCTTCCACTATATTTTCCATAAAGTTATCACACAAAAAAGGAACAGACCAGCCAATAGCGAACTAAAACCCATGACTTGGATGCTATGCTCAATTTAGGGGTCCCCTTCTTTCCTCTAGCTCTATTTATTCATCTGGATAAAGAATAGAATTTGAAAGAAATGGACTCCTAGATTCAAACTACAGATACTAACTGGCTAGCTGCAAGAACACGCTATTGAAATAGCATCGTGCATGACTAGCTGCATTGAGGAGGATGGCAGTCGACTCTAGTTCAGGAAGTGCGGCAAGTACTTGAGGATTGGTGCCAACTTTTTAAACTTGAATAAGAATCAGATCTTTAATCATGGCATTGTATGGGTTATAGTAATACATGGCTTTATGCATCAAAACCATTACTCCCCCTGCGGAACATGTTTAAAATCAAATGAAAGTTTCATCACCTAGGGGAATTCCACTATTAGTAACACTCCTTGAGGAGCAATTTTTCCGTATAGCGATAGATTAGAAAGCTTTCATCACATTTGCACTCATTGGATTGCTTAAATTTGCCCACAAAAACACGAAAGCTACGTGAATTCAATACCAATAAGACTCATAAATAGTCTGGTGAAATTTCTCTGTTTCATTAGATACTACAGTAGGTTTTCAGTTTCACAATCCAGATTAGGCTCTTATTGGCAGGTTGATTAGTTCTTGATTTCTCCTTGGATAGTTTTTTATCTATCTGGAAGAAGGATTTCCAAATTTGTATATGGATGCTTATGAAGATGATAACTCAGGCTCTCAACATGTTAAGTTTATAGAAACAAACAGAAATCGAAAAAGCATACCTGTGACGTAAACGAACAGAGATAGTCCTGTATAGTCTTCAAGTTAGTTATCAATTTATCTTTGTCCTGAAAAGAAATTCAAGAGAGGATTACCAGCTAAAGAAGATAAGAAAAGGGAAAACATTCAGATAGAAATACACTATGTACATACAACAAGAATCACTAGGCCTGTGTTCCAAACAAGTTGTTTGGCTATATGATTCCTCAGTGACCATATTTCTCCATTTAAATTCATCTCAAGCCAACATTATATAGAATGAAAATAAAAATAAAAAGTACTAGAAGTTCTCTATCTTTTCTCCTGACATAAAAATCTCTAATAGGGCTAAAAGATTCATACAAAGCATAGGACCAAAAGAAAACGAACCAACATGACTAAAACTTATTCTCAACTAATCAGTATCACCTATATAGATAAGAAAAATTGTGCCCTATCTTTCCCTAAGTTTGCATGGATTCCAAGAGCAAATACACTATGTATCATGCGTGTGCTTATTCATAACACACGCATAAACATAGAGATAGGATTGAAGCCAGATATAGAGAGAGAAAGGGGTGCGAATTTTCTTAAATTCTAGTAGAACTGATAAGCAGTGGTGGAGCCACATATAAGGAAGGTTGTTCAATTAAATCCCCTTCGTCGAAAATTATACTGTCCAAATAGGATAAAGGTAATGTTTTTGTACGTATATAAACATTTGAATCCCTTTAACATAAATGAAGCTTTTACTGTAACGACAAATAAGCATTTTTGGCATTTTGTTAATCCCTTTATTAGAGTTTCTGGTTCCGCTACTGCTGATAAGCTTTATGAAGATAATTTGTTCCAGCTTTGCAACGTAGAATATCACTGGCTGTAGTAGGTATGGGGATAACAAAAATGAACTGTCATATCCCTAGCTGATGACCAGAAGACAATATGGTACTTCAATTTATTATGAAGTCACCTCACTTGGATAGATAAAAATACGAATAAAGATGAAAGGATCATTATATTGGTGATCTTCGTAATGAGTTTAAACTTGGTAATCAGTATATATATATATATATATATATATATATCATTTTCAAGCTCAAAACATTAACTATTCTCTTTTTCTAAGTGTAAGTGGAAAACTGATGTGTGAAGAAAACTAAGGAGAAACAAGGATTATATATCTTCAAAAGGGTTTTTCAGCTTTCCAAATTGAAGGAGAACAAATCTTGAACGTTTTATATGCTGCAGAAGACATCATTTTGGACAAGATATTCATGCTCTTTCTTACTCATTCTTCCTCTTTTTTTTCTTAAAAGAAAAAAATTATTCTTAATTGTCAGAAAATGTCTCCACCACTGTATCAGAAAGTTGAGGGCAGCTGCCCCCATCTGCACATGTGCAAAGATTAATCCAAAAATCAATTTCTTATTAATTTAGAGCAAAAATAAAAGAAGAGCACATGTGTATATCAATCACCAGTGATATTTTACTGATAAGGACATATATCACAGATTTTGCAGAACTCAGGTGCTACTATATCAAAATCCACCCACTTGAATTATGGATATGTTAAACTTCCATGTTCACAGATAATGATAAATAAGAGATCTCAACAACTTGTGGAACCTGGGTAGGATATTTCTCACTGCATGTACGAGTAGCTACCCACTCCTCCAGCAATGCCTGCATAAAAGACATAGTTAGTCAATAAGGTAGCCGTGGGACAAAATATGAAAAACAGTTTACTCCCTGTATCGTGCTTTATGCAATGGATAATAATTTAAGATTATGATTGAGGATGATAACAATGGACTCAAATTCAGTTGCATACCATATCGGCAGCAGGGAGGAGACAAGTCAAACAACTATATTTTTTGGGTAGTTTTCATAGATAGCTCGGTTACAGGCAAATTTGATTTGTTTAATCAATTTATAGTTCTAAGATTAGAGGACACTGTATCGCTACTATTTTTTATATAATAAAAAAAACTATCAAAACTTTCGGGATGTTTGAAAAGATAAGTGAGCCGCAAAGGAGGGGGAGGATGGAAGGAGTAAGACAATATTATGGATATCCTACTATTCCTGCGCATAACTGAGGTCCTCATAAAGTATTGGGAGCAGAAGTAGCAAATTTGGGAAGTAAAAGACTCCATAGAAGTAGATGGTTGGCTATTTCAATTTTACTCTTTTGTTCTACTGGAAATGGATAAATCTACCTTTAGTGGTTGTCTCTCTAATTAACCTCATCTCTCATGTCTTTGACTGCAGCCAATAATCAATCAAACAATTTAACTTTTGGAAGAATGTAAAAACTGAGGTTCAATAAGGAGTATTTCAACCAATGAAGATATTACATGAACCATTACAGTTTACGCTTTCATAATCAGCTGGAATATATTTACCAACCCCACCGTCATATTGCCCTTTTCTTTCCTAACTATTCAAGGGTTCTTCCTTAGTAGCTGTGGGTTGACTACTGTGCAAGCAAGGAATAAGATAAGCAACATGAGAAACATGTTTTTCCACTAAACAGGAAAAAAAATTCAAGCTATTTCATGAAGTTAGTTTAGTGTAAGTTAAGACATCAGTTCAGAGTGAATAAAAGAGGAAAGGACAGTTGGGAGAAGTATTACGGGATATGAGTAAGGTGTCATGTAAATGGGTCAACTTGTCGCTCAAAAATAGAAGCTAGAACTGGGTACTTTGGAGGGGAAGATAAAGACTACACCTCTTTGGGTTCAAACAGACTAATGAGCAGATTAGTAAGAAAAGATAGCTGTTCCAAACTGGTACTTAAAAAGAAACTCCATTTTACCTTGTCATCTCTAAGATAACAAGAAACTCCATTTTACTTTGTCATCTCTAAGATAACAAGGCTTTGAGAATTTAGATCTGCTCTTTATCTCTCAATCTATTTTAGAGAGAGCATATACAAAGATAGAAACAAGAATTTGAAGATAATATATGATAAATAGACATAAGGTGGCAACCTTATGGTCAAACTCAGCCATCCTTAAAACTATAGGTACAATTATTGGTTGAGCACCAGATTTTTCTCTTCTATGAGAAGGATTTTGGTCTGCTCCTGAATCTTTAACTGTTTCACCTGCATTACCTGATAGGCAGTGAGGAAGCATCAAGGGAGGAAAGAAAAAAGAAATAGCTCGAGTAGAGGATTAGATTTTAGAGATGGAAAACTAATAGAAATGTGCAAAGGCACTTACCCGTATTTTCAGAAACTCTATTAACAATGTCCAAGGATTTCAGAGCAGCTGTGATCTTGTTTGACTCAGAAGATTGTTCTGAATTCATATCCTCAGAACAGCAATCCTTGTGGCCACTCCGACTGCTGTCTCCAACATTACAATTGTTTTTCTGTTGTAATTCCTTCTGTTCGTCCACCTTCAGAGATTTTGGCCCTGCTTGGTTTGCTGGAGAAGACGGGGGCAATTTATTCTCTTCATCCATTAGGTAAATACTAGGATCTAGGTGTATCCCCTGCCATTGATATACCATCCAACTGGGATCACTCAATGTTCAAGCATTGCTTTAAAATTGAACTGAATACAGAGCCAAATGATTTTCGGCATTCACTACCAATTAAAAAAAATAGTTGATGTGATACAAACACTGTGATAGAAAATTCTCAATAATACTGCAGCTACAAGGATGATTATACTAGACATCAGCCCTGCTATGCGTGCTCACATGTCAGTACATATTATTTCTTTTTTGCATAAAATGCTTTCTTGACTGCCACCACACACTCAGGTATCTGTTTTTCGAGAAAAAGTAAGGTAATCTTATTAAATTTATGGCACTAAGGGGGTGCTATGTTGGAAAATTATATTCAAGTAGGCCAAGAGCTTCCTTGTCTCTACCTGTACAGGCAGATTATAATCACATGGCATACAATGGTCTTTTACTGTTTTTCCTCGAATACTGATAGCCCAGTGTCGCATTGTTGGAATGGTAACAGCTGGTGTCTCAACTTTAGAAGACCATGTTTTGATCGGGAAATTCCAAGATTGGCTCTCTTGCTACAAGATCTGGATAAGATGACTTTAATAACTGATGAAGCAGATCAATTAATCTGGCTGAGGCAACAGAATGATATCTTTTCAGTAGGCTCTTGCTACAGTGAGTTAAACAAGGTGCTGGAGAGTACTCTCAACTTGCCTTGGAAGATGATATGGAAAACTAAAGATCCTCGAAAGGTAGCCTGTTTTATGTGGTTGTTAGCTTAATGCCTGTCTGAACCAAAGCAATTTACAGAGAAGGGGAGTGAGCATTTGCAGCAGATGCTGCTTATGCAACAAGGATGACGAGTTCAGCAGCCATCTTTTTTTGCATTGCACAGTGGCAAGGCAACAATGGAATCTGTTTTTCAATCTTTTCAACTTGTCTTTTGTCATGCCTTTCACTGTTAAAGACCTGTTTACCATTTGGAGCAAAGTGGGATCAGAAAACCAGCAAGAAGTCTGTGGGTTACAGTGCCAGCTTGTATCTGTTGGGTTTTGTGGACTAAAAGAAATGCAAGGTGTTTGAAGGGAAAGCTGTCTCTGTACAAATGTTAAAAGTACAAATGTCTTTGGTTTTTGGATTTTTGGTGCAACTTACAGGATGTAAAGGATGAAAACAGTATGTTAGATTTCATCAATTCACTATAGGAATCAATTTCCGTATAGATATTTGCCCCTCTTTTTGTTTTTCTGTACAGGGGTTTTTCTGACTTGTACCTAAACAGCACTTTCTTAGTGCTTTGCTGTTTATTTCTATATAATATACTTATCACTTCAAAAAAATCTGCCTGTACAGCATCCCAAGGATAGAAAAAGCTCTTCCGATACTGATATCAATGCAGATTCACCAATAATATGCTTTGGGACTTCACCTATCTCTCTTCCCTCTCTCCTAGTCTCAAATTCAGACGCTCCAGATGACCCTGGGTGGAGATTTTTTTTTTCCTTCTCCCAGGTATCTTTCTCCTTCTACGTGTTAAATAAGGCAAATTTTCACTTTCTCATATCATTTGCTTCCCACTCATAATTTACAATGTGATTGCCACTTTTTCTAGTATTATTTTTTGAGAAAGATACAAAAAATACTAATAGAAAAAGTGGCAATCACATTGTAAATTATGAGTGGGAAGGAAATGATAGAAAAAGTGCCACTTTTTCTATTAGTAGTGATGCATAACCACATATAAAGGAGCTCAAACTGTGTTATCAGACAAGCAGCCTTTCATTTTGATGGTGCAAGTGAAAGTCCAAACTAGCAAGTGACAAGATCAAGATAGACTTAGAAGCAGAAGAAAATACTCATATCGATATCAAATGCATATATAAAGACCTCCAAGGGTTTAGAACTACTTGGTTAATTGGGAAAGAAACAAAATGCTAATATAGAAAATTAGCTCCAACACATCCATCACTTTCTTAAGTGATTGGGTCCTCTTACCGTGAAGCGCAGTACCAGATGTTTAATAAATATACAATTATTTGCTTTAGATAGATATATCAATATTAGGAGATAAAGCTGCTTTAAAGATTAAAGTCACCCTCTGGGAGATTCGAAAGAGCATGTTTCCTCCATAAAATTCCTTCAAAATTCAATTAGTTTTAACTGTGGCTGGGGCATAATGTATGATCTTAGACTTCTTATCTTTAGGACCCATTTTCTGCCAGTCGTAATGCTACTTCTTTTCGTTTTTTTCTTTTTCTTTTTCTTTTCTACAAGGACCAGTCGCAATGCTTCTTTTCCAATCAGATGTCAAAAAGAGGATTACTAAGAAAGACAGGGAGGGCATAAGAAGAAACATCTAAGCATGACAAATAAGCAACGACAAAAACACATTATGCAGTTTATGGAGGACAAATAATACCTCAATTATAATTGGTTTTCCATCTTTCATAGCTTTCTTCAAATCACCAGCCAAACCTACAAAAGATATTGAGATACTGATTGAATTCCTTGATATGTTCCAGAACAGTTATTTACACCAACAATTACCTTTCCTTACTATTCTGCATTCTCTGCAAAATTCGGTTATTATCTCCTCTGGTGAGCTGAAATCGCGTCCCCATACAGGAGAAGATGCCAAAGGTGCACTAACAAAAATAACAAGGTACATAAGTATTTGAGTGCCACATAATATCACACTTCTCAGACAATCTTTAGCTAAGCATGAACAAACATGAGTATGCAATTTTCTGGAAGGAAGTGGTAACCGTAATAACTAAATCTGCAGTGTAGTTACATACTCTGTTGATGTCCGTAGCAATTCATACACCATGTCAGTCTGGAAAAAAAGTTGCATATAAAAGGATAAGCAAGCCGGGATAAATAGTAGGTGTTTGCCCAACGGAATAAATTAGAAGCAGAACCAGTAAGTGTATAAGGACTAAAGAAGACACCTGCAAGACGTTTGGCAAGTTCAGCCTTTGTGCAAGCTGGGTTGCAATAGTAGATTTTCCAACGCAAGCAGTACCACAAACAAGAATTACCAAAGGAACTCTCAGATGGTGAAATCTAAGAAGATAAAGATAGCCAAAGAAGAGTAAGCAACATCAAATGTTAAATTAGGCCGTTTCAATCACTCCCTTCCTCATTACTCCCTCCTTTACAAAAAAAAAAGTATAAATAGAAAAAACCACAATAGGCAAAGGAAGGAAAGTTGACAAAGCAAATATCAACTACCTCGTAATCATTTTATAACGGTTTATATACTCTTGTCCAAAACCTCTTCGCTCCATAAGCTGCACGACATCCAAAATCAGTGTTATTCATCCACTTTCAGAATTTTGAAAAACTTCTATGAGAGAGGAAGATCAAATCACAACAGTGTCAATTTTTACACAAACTAGTATAAGATGTTCACAGAATTAAGAGAAGGAAATCACAGAAATCTGCTCTAAATATTTTTGTGGAAAATCTCTTCTTGTATGACTTTTTTGATTGAAGCAATAGGTTCTGCACAGATTTCTTATGGCAGTGTTGTTCTCATCAGACAATCAACACATGAATGACCGTTAACACTCCAACCAAAGGGTTGGTCCCTGACAGCATAACATTTTTATTAGTGAATTGAAAGCGTGAAACAATATTGTGTGCATATTAGCACTCCTACATGGGTAATTCAATCTGAAACACGAACATTGTTGTGTCAAATATCAGTCCTAGACACCACTAGGTAGGAATAATTAATTGCCAAAAGACATAAAGCAAAGCTCAGGTTAAACTGGATCATCATCAGGACTCTGTTTTCACCACCTTGAGTGCATTTGCTAGTTAAAGATGTCAACCAAATAAGATCCTAAAATAGAAATTTCTCAAAATGCCTAATGGATGAAATAATGAAGCAATTTTGCTTATGCTTAGATTCATTCAATAAAAGCGCAGCAGCTCACAATAATTCCCAACCACAGAGAGAAAAAATGAAGATGTTTGATGACATGTTGCAACTGGGTAATNGGGGGGGAAGCATAGGTATGTATTTATATTCATAGCAGATTATTTTAGATAGTTCAATATTCATGGGAAAGTTATTTGAACCGCTGAGAAGAATTGGAAGAGGAACATAACCGAGAGCAAGAAATGTGGTACCTTGAACAAGTTTGCCTCCAAATCTGATTGTGAGCTGCGCAAGAAATAAGTGACTAAGTTTTATGGATCAACTAGGCTAATAACCCAATGAGAAGAAGACATAAAACTTTGATGTCATACACATCGAGTAGGCTGTTGTCAACAAGAAGCTTCTTAAGCTCAAGAGCAATTTTGATAGCCACGTGATTTGGTATCTGCAAACGAGAAGCAGTGAATATTAACTCCACATTCCCAGCAAAAGATCTCTAGAAAAGAAGATGTAGTAGTAGGTCATCCCAACCTTGGAAACTAACAAGGGACAGCATGAATAATCAATACAAATTAGCCAATTTTAGGAACAGCAGAGTAAATCATTATTTTTCCCTCTGATGTTAGAAGTTGAATAGGAACAATGCTGGTAAGTAACAACTTAATCAATCAACTAAGAGCAAGCAATGGAACTTAAGCCAATACCTACAAAGATACTTTTTGCATTATTTACATCACAACTGATAAGCTGCTCGAGCCGATTCTCTCGTAATTCCAAGTTGATAGTAAATCTTAATATGTTAGTATAGAAAATAAAATCGGATTCAATTCATAGAATGATTACTTCCTGATTATGAATTTGCATGTGATACAACAAACTTAATCTGCAGCAGTAACTGCCTCCCAGGTAAAAAGGTAAGAAATGCAGTAAAAAGAGAGAGATGTTTTCACCTTAGTGACAGTGAGCATTCTGCTGAGCAAAAATCTAGAGAGAACATAGTAGTGATCGGCATTGTCACCTAGCCATACTTTCACCTGAAACACAAACAAAACGAGTATATATATATAATAAACTAGAAATTAATCGAACTAGAATTGTAACTATAGAAGCAGAACGATATAGACCTTAACGAAATCGTATTTGGAAGAAGCATTTCGGGTGGAGAAACGACGAGCTGGAGCATTACTTTCGGCAGCATCATCTTGATTTTCGTCTGCTTCATTTGTGCTAGGGCTTTCTATTAAAACCGCCTTATCCTTCTTCATATCTGTCGGAGCGTGCCCGCCGGGAAGGTGATGCCGGTAATTGCGACGGAGAATCTGAACAATCTGCTTTTGTTTGCACTTTGCACCAATAAGAAAGGAACATAAAACTTTCGTCGCTTTTTTCGAATTCTGTGGGAGTGTTCCCCTCGGTGGGTGGGATTCCACCTGGCTTCTGGCGTCTTCCCTAATCTTTTGGCAACTTGTAAAGATTAGAAATTAAATTTCAGAAACCTTCAATTCTAGGAAATTGTACGGGACATTGGGAGGAAATATTTTAACATAATTTTTTATAATTTGAATAGAAGAAAATAGTTAGTAAAAATTTCTTGTATTTATTTATAAATTAAAAAGAAAAAACAGTCTGAAAACCAATTGATCTCATCTCGCAGTTTGTCCTTTTTCTCCTAATAATCACCATGTAGTAATTACAGTAGTAAATATTCTTGCAATTTTTTTGTGAAAACATACCTTGCAATATAGGACATTGTCTTCTAAAGAAGATGGTTGCAGAAGGATTTAGCATACATTTTGTATTGGTCAAAATCTAACCAGATAGGAGTCGGCATGGGAAGAGACGGCGAAAAGTTAGTTGGGACTGTCATATCCATATCACGTCGTAACGACACGTACCTCGACCACAGTCGAGGTCAAGTATTCAGAACGCCTGAGAGGCGAATTGTATATTATGGTGCTTTAAGAGGTCAGCCCGTAACCTAATCAAACGATTGAAGCACTATGGTTAATGACCGTTGGGTAAGGGAGAAGACCTAATATATAAACTAAGTGAGAAAAAGAAGAAAGTGGGGCGGAAAAAATCCAAACACAGGCATGTTCCCTGAAAGGAAGAGAAACTTCATCTCTCTCCAACACAAAAAGAAGAAAGAAGCAAGGAAGCTCAGATCATCAACGTATATTGTTAGTCTATTCATATCAAATGTATGGGATACTACTTTGCTAAAGATCGGTGACCTTTCATATTTACATCCTCCTAATTGTTGTTTGATATTATGAGAATTACCATCATCTCCTTGTATGATAGGATTCGATCACTGATATAGTTAAATCTTATATATGCTATGCTTGCTCACTCTCATTTTCCATCTTAGATCTAGAGTAAATTGTTGTTGGTTAAGATTTGCCTAAAGCCTTCTTATTAATTAGTTTAACAAAAAGCTAAACACTTTTTGGTTAAACAATTTGGCGTCGTCTGTGGGGATTTCTTAGCCAAAATTTTAGTTTCCTCTAGAACTAAAGCCAGCCAAATTATCGCTTTCCGGTTGTCATAGCCTCACCATCTCAGTACAAATACCAACTTGAAAAAGTGGTAGACAAGCTTTTGAGATAACCAAACCAATCAGGGTTGGGTTTTTGCATGAAATCGAAATTATGCCTCATATCTGCAAAATCTGTGTCTCGTTGTAGCGATGGGTTTGGTACGTCGTACGAGTACACAAAGCGGGATTATGGCCATTACACACTTAGCACGTCTGCAATCCTATTCGCTATATTAATTTTATATATCGACCTATATTTTCACCTTTTAGGAAAGGACAATAGCCTACTATGTGATTCTTTGAAACAACCGGCTCATCCTGCTTTATTTTTGTACCTGTATACACAGTGAATAATTTATGTACAGAGTGTAACTTATGTTTCCCTTTTTTTTGCGCACATCGGACGTGATCGGACCGGGATCCGAGCTCGAGATCCCAACGGGCAAAGCATGTTCAGCCCATAAGAAGCCTAGACGCGAACCACATCGAAGCCAAACACGAGGTTACCGAATCTGAAATCGCCGTTCGAGTACGGGATAAAATGAGTCATCCTACCGCGTCCTTCTCCCTTCGCCGACTTATCAGGTCAAGGTAATAGGCAATTTCGTTTCGGCTTAACTTGTCATTTTTCCTTTTTTCGGGATAGGAACATGAGCACTCTCACAGGCACGTGAACAAGGAACAAACACCACCGAACACATCAGGACAATGTTTTGCACCGTACCATCTAGCAAGCAACGGTCGAGCAGAACCCTCCACACCGTACCACACTACAAATAACGGACAAACGGCTTAAAACAAGCCGAAATTATCAAGAAAATCTCCATAACCTGGGACTAGGCAATGAGCACATGGAACGTACAGCCTCTCCAACACAGGCATCATAAGCACAAAAAGGCTGCAAGGCCGCTCGCCATGGCAATCCTATGTTGATTCAACCGACTAGATATTACGAATCACGGCCGAACTTCGTTCGAATCAATCGAGTCCCAGGGTATCAAAAAGCACAAACGACAAAATTCGTCACACATCCCGCCAAAGAAGAGGCTAGATAGACTGGGACTCACGCCAACGCACAACACTCTCCAATGAATGTAAAATTAAGAAAACCGGGACTCACCCCCGACACACGCATAAACAATGCAGCAACGAGTAATGTTCTCCAATAAAAGTAATGCAACGGGCAAATCTCACCACCCCACCAAGCCAGTATATCTCCAAGTGAAATGAAAGTTCGACTTTGTTCGAACTCACAACGTGTTACAATTTCGACCTCGCTCGAATTTACACCCTTACGACCATCGCCAAGTGAAATCAAAGTTCGACTTCGTTCGAACTCACAACGTGTTACAATTTCGACCTCGCTCGAATTTACACCCTTACAGCCATCGGCCATCGGCAAGTGAAATCAAAGTTCGACTTCGTTCGAACTCACAATGGGTTACAATTTCGACCTCGCTCGAATTTACACCCTTACGACCATCGCCAAGTGAAATCAAAGTTCGACTTCGTTCGAACTCACAACGGGTTATAATTTCGACCTCGCTCGAATTTATACCTTTACATCCATCGGCCATCGCCAAGTGAAATTAAAGTTCGACTTCGTTCGACCTCGCTCAAATTTACACCCTTACAGCCATCGACCATCGCCAAGTGAAATCAAATTTTGACTTCATTCGAACTCACAAAGGGATATAATTTTGACCTCGCTCGAATTACACCCTTACGACCATCGACCATCGCCAAGTGAAATCAAAGTTCAACTTCGTTCGAACTTACAACGGGTTACAATTTCGACCTCGCTCGAATTTACACCCTTACGGCCATCGGCCATCGCCAAGTAAGATCAAAGTTTCACTTTGTTCGATCTCATGACGGGTTGCAATTTCGACCTCGCTCGAATTTACACCCTTACGGACCCCGGCCATCGCCAGGCAGAAGTCAGAATTCGACCTCGCTCAAATATATAAGTCAAAACTAACTTCGCCCAAGTTCGCAAGTCTGAATTCAACCTCGCTTGAATATACAAGTCAAAACTCACTTCGCCCAAGTTGGCAAATCTAAATTCTACATCGTTCGAATATACAAGTTGGAACCGACTTCGCCCAAATTGGCAAGTCTGAATTTGATCTCATTCGAATGTATAAGTCAAAACTGATTTCGCCCAAATTGGCAAATCAGAAGTCAACCTCACTCGAACTTGCAGATCAAAAGAGACTTCATTCAAACTCACAAAATGAGATTCGATCTCACTCAGATCAAGGGAACTAAATTCGACCTCGTTCAAATTCCCAATTAAAATCAGGGACTCATCATGAAGAAATCTGAAGATCCTTTCAAAAAAAAAACAAGAGAGAAAGAAGATACGTAACCAAAGACAAAGCGACTATTTTATTCAGATGTACATGAGAAACATTTATGCCTTACAAATGGCCAAAGCAGGCCCCCAAGAAAGATGTAAACAAACAACAACAACAAAAATAAGTACAAAAGCTACAACAAATTTTCACTCGGCGTCATCTCCACCGTCGTTCTCCCCAACATCATTGTCATTAGAAGGAAGCCCGTCTTCAATCTCAGCACCCTCACCGGCCTCCGATGTCGTAGGGTCATAACCGTAGGCAAGACGAGCCTCGCGTGTCTTTGCCTGAGCATCTTCAAAAGCGGCCTCACGAATACTCCCCGCCTCCCACAAGCCCTTATATATATCTCGTTGGGCCTCAGCATGAACCCATAGCTCATACAAGCGGCGTAGGACAACAGTAGGGGCAGATTCTTGAGGGCGGGCCTGAGCCAACAGTTGCACCTTCTCGGCCTTGAGAGCTGTAACTTGATCTTCCAGGCTCGAAACATCCCGATCAAGTTCACTAATCCGCTCTTCGAGTCGTGCCTCCCTTAGTGTGGTCGTCGCCCTCTCAGCTTCCCGTTCAGACCTAAGGACACGGATAGTGTCCTCCAGTGTTGTCACCCTCGCCAAAGTCGACACTCGAGCCCTCTTGGCTTTATCCAACTCGGCCACTTTCTTTTACAGCTCAGCCACTTTCTCTATCGACTCTGCGCTTAGGTCGGCAACACTGGTGGCATTTTGTTCCAGCTCGGCTCGCAAAGACAGCACCTTCGCCTGAAGGTCTTCACATTCTACCGCAACCCCCTTGCCCAATTCGAGCTCCTTGTCTTTAGCATGGAGTAACTCCTCGAGCTCACTGTATCTGCAAATAGACCGCATCAGTTCCTCGTCCCTTCTTTCCAACTCTTCCTTAACGAATTGAGTATTACCGCCCGCCTAAGATGCGCGTGCATCTCATGGCACTTGGTGTGATAGCGACGATACTTTGCGGCCATTTTTAGAAAGACTTCGGCCCTGGTCTTAGCCTTACGAGCACTCTCGATCTCCAGCATGTAAGTCTAAAAAAGAAAGAGAGAAGAAAAAGAAGGAAGGAATCAGTGAAAGCAAAATAACACAAAACAAAAAAAATGGCGAAAGGAAACTCACACTCAAGGTGATCCCGGCAACACCACATAACAAAGTGGAATCATTGATCTCCCAAAGAGACTCACTTTCGTTCAGCGGAACACAAAAGGTCTAACTGAGGCACCAGCTCCACCGTGTCCTCCAACAAGTTAAAATCTGATGAAATCTCGAGCACACGAGAAGGACCCCCGCCCTTACATCGACCCTCGTAAATCCTTCCTCGAACATCCTCATGTCCTTAGGATTGATGTTAGAATCCGACTCATAGTCATCCACCACAACGCCCTCCAACCTCTCATTTGCCAAAGAGGGGATGCGACCCTACTAAGATGATGATAGGCCACTCAGAATAATCACGGCAGCCCTCGAACTTTGTCCCCTACCATGGTGGTCTCCTCTACGACCAAAATAGGTGACGCCTCTGCGCTCAGGTCGGAGTCATCGCTAGCTTCAGATAATGCCGCAGTAGGACTGCCCCTAAAGGATG